AGGTGTAGTAGTACCTCTTCGGGCTCTTGTACACCTTTTTCTTGCTACGTGTGCGTGTTCTTTAGATCCTCAGATGGCTCCAGCACTTTCGTGACCACGGGCCGAGAGTCTTTGCTAGATTTTGGCATTTAGCAACTGGCATACGGTTTAATGTGAAGTCAACAACAACTGCTGTAACACTTGATTCTCCACCAGAAAGCTCGGCCAATCAGAGGCAGGCGTGGTTACGTTCAATTGCGATTGTCCAAGCGGTGATTCTCTGGGATGCAGGCGAAAAGCGCAAAGTGCCTGCCGATTAGATGGAGGGTTCGCGGTGGTCGAACACGCCACGAGGCGTGCAGCAATTTGATGTTTGTTGCATTGATTGGTGCTGCGTGTCGCGTTAGTCTGTACTCATGCCGAACTCCCTTTTTTTATTGCCGCAAGCAGCTCTTGGCTAGCCCGTACCACCATACACACATCGAGCTGTCGTCTCTGATGTACCAACAACATACCTTGAGCTCCACAGGCATTTTTCTCTTGCGCATTGCCCGCGCGACTTCCTCCACCTCGCACCTGGAGACGGTTCGCTCCTCGCTGCTGCTGGAATTATTGCTGCTGCAGTCCCCCTGGCTGCCCATGAGGAAAGGCCCCAGCATCGACACCCCGAAGACGACGGCGATAGCTACAAACGGCAGCATGAATGATGATTTCTCTGCTCGATTTGGCTGTTTCCCGTGCAAATTGTAGACCACGCAGAGAGCCGAGAGGCAAACAAACGCTTGATGTTTTGCCCCCCCGGGGTTAATTTGTGTGTAACGGGTGTTTCAACACAGGATCAGGACCACCGGGAATAATAGTTGCTGGCGGGCCGGTGGAAGAATGGGTGCCAACACGGGAAGGGCGTCGTATCGGCGGTTCGTTCTTGGCTTGAGTCAGCAGAGTACATACATACATGCAAAGAAGAGGAGTGGCTGCCCGTGAATGCCGCCGTCTTCTTGCGTCGAACCGAGGGGGAAACACCCCGTCACGGCCAAGGGAAGCACAAGTGCCACCGGCCGTACGCGAACAGATGCGGCGTTGTACAACAGCAGTAGTAGTAGCGACGGAGCTCTTTCCCTCCCCCAAAAGTAGTTCACGTACCGCTGACAAGCAGCCAGGTGAAAGGGAGCAGCAGTAGCACAGCAACAACGTCTCCGATGTTCATGGGCGTGGTTGTTGTATCGACGAGAGAGGTGCTCAACCGCACGGCAAGATTTGCCCTTTTTGTCGTCACTCATTCATGTCAACTGTTGTTTGCACGGTATCCCAAGGGTATCCCACTATGTACGCTTTATATATAGTCTATACCGGTCGTATCTTCCATCTCATGATGACGACCTTTTCGTCACTTTTGTCATCGTTCTCATGCCCAACGTGCGCGCGAAAAAACGGTGGCTCATGGAGGAGGCAGAGAGATGGCGCATACCATCGACGCAGAGGAGATTGATTGATCAAGGGTTCTCATTCCACCATCACGGACAGCATATGAGCTGGCCGCGCTGCCTGGCGAGTGCATAATCACCCGTCGACCTGCAGCCTGCAGCCTGCAGCAGGGCGGATGAAAATTAGGGGGCGACGCACCATGCACGCGTACGAGATGGACTGTTATCTGGAGGCCCCCCGCCTCAATTGCCCCGCCTGCAGGCGACTTGCGGGCGAGATCTGATGGAAAATGTGAAGAAAGAGCCTCGTTCTGCGTTGTAGGTTTTAGGGCACCAGTACTGGGCTGCTGTTGCCCTGGGACAAAGCGGCGGTCACTTCCAAGAGCACCCGCCCGCTATGATACCTTTGCTAGCTGCCATCCTCTTGGCCGGAGCCGCGGGCGCTGGCCCGGTCCTCGTGAGCGACGCCTGCGGGAGCGACACAACGACGAACGATGACCTTGGGCGGGGACGGTGTGCCGTGGAGACGGTCTGCCGAAATATGAAGGCGAAGGAGAGGCCGGCGGAGCTAAAGGTGCGTCGAGCGATAGATGATGATTCGAGTTCGAGCGATTGCAGAGCTTGAGTAGGCTTGAGAAGCAAAAAGCAGCTTGCTCTGTGTGTCTGGCTCGTGTCCCCATAATCATCCGATGTTTTTTCGACGCCTCCATCGAACCTTGTTTGGCTTTCAAAAAGCGTGCCGAAACTATGCATAGCGTGTAGCTCACCTACCATTTGCACGTTTTGTAAGACCCACGTGTACGGTGTACGCACGAGGGTTGTACTGTGATGTTTGTAAACATCGGGGCGTTGCGTTCCTTGTTCACAAAAGAGCACGGTCCTGCGTCACAGGTTGCAGGCGTGAGTTGTACCGGGGAAAGCAGGCGAACCGGACATGATCCTTGTTTGCGCGATAAGTAATTTTGTGCTTGAAGCACGGAACCGTGTGAGGGAACGAGATGACACACGCTTCGCGGTTGGCTCGCTGGTGTGTTTTGAGAGCATATACCGCAACACCGCCGTTATTCACTACCACAACTCACTGGTACACACATCACCCGCGCGTTCACCCGTCTCGTTCATAAATGGCTGGCGTGCGTAACGCGGGTTCATGATCGCAATCTACTAAAAATATGTGAAGTGCCCTCCTGCTACACCGCGCAGCAGCGCAAATATGTAGCAGGAGTGAATTTGTGCTGACTGCTGTAGGGGTGCGGGTAAACAAGTTGACTCAATCCAGAAGATAGCACCAGCGCCGCGATGACTGAACGAAGACACATGCCGAACCACACCCCGCCGATGGTATGCGTCTATCGTGGCGTGGAGCGCATGAAAAACATCGTCATACGGGTTGGAGCTCTCCTAGGGTTGTTGTAGCAACAAGGTCAGCCGCCTATATTGTTGTTGTTGTTGTTGTTGTTGTCTTCACATTAAAAACCATCCCGGTCTCTCTATCCAGTACCTCCTTCTGTCTCAATCTCTCCGTACTAATCCATCACTTGACTCGGCCAATTTCCGTGGTCACAGGCTAACGTACCTAGAAAAGGTATACCAAAATAAAATGGACCCCAAGGGTCAGCAGAGCGATAAAAT